CGGGCCATGAGCTTGGAGTGCTGGTGCGTGATGTTGATTGACATTCATTGTTCTTTGTTTCCACAGGCCACCGGAGGCCGGAGGAGCCCTGGGGAGAGGAAGTTCAGCTGCCTCTCCTTTCAGCAGCCCTATGCAGGTTTTGTCTTAAATGGGGTCAAGACCCTGGAGACACGTTGGCGTCCCCTGCTGAGCAGCCACCGCAACTGTACCATCGCCATTCACATTGCTCACAGGGACTGGGAAGATGCCGCCTGGAGCGAGCTGCTGGTGGAGAGGCTGTGGCGGACCCCTGCTCAGATTCAGGCCTTACTCTGGGAAGAGGAAAAGTATGGCTGTGGAGTGATAGCTGGCAAGTGATGCGGTGCCGAGCACTGCTCAGACACCTTGCAGGGCTGCCCCCAGGATCTTGCTCAGGAGTTTTGTGGCTTGTTTTCTTTTGAACTGCTGTGTGTGTGGGCTGTGTGGTTTCTCTAAGCACCACACGTTCAGAGGGGCAGCAAGGGTCCCTGGGCTGGGGGTCGGTGGGCTGAGGTTCCACGACCTGGGGTGAACTGTTTGTCCATCCTGGGCCTCTGTTCCCGTGTGTGATCTGAGAGGCAGGGACAGGTCCGAATCTGCATGTGGTGTTTGCCCGTGTGTGTATGTGCTTCCATGTGCATGCGTGTGGCAGCAGCACACGCGGAGTGGGTTGGGGTGGCCTCTAGACTCAGGCTGCCTGCCTGACATCATATGCGTGTCCCACCCCCAGTGCCCACCGCATACTGGGCAAGTCCCCTAACCCCTCAATGGTTGAGGTCCCACATCAGCTCCTGTCGCCTGGTGAAGTGCTTGGGGACCCAATGGCCTGTAGGTTCCCTGCAGCGGCCGGGGCCCTTGTAATCTGTACCTGCTGCCCTCAGCAGTCTGACTAAGACCTGCCCATTATTTTGGTGGGGTTATTGAGGCAAGCCCCTCTCCTCCTCATTGTCTCAACCTTGGCCTCACCCGGAATCCTGTTGACAGAGTTTGGCACGTCAGAAATGCTCACTCCGAGAGACCCAGCTCACTCCGTGTCCATTGGGTGACATCGTCTTAGTCTCTAGTGGTTTTAACTGTGAAAACCATGTTCTCTCACAGGCAGGCCTTGGTTTATGGAAGAGAAGACATCTCTATGCTTCTCTCTCTGTGCACAGGGCTCATTGACATTGGGGAAACTTTGCAGTGCCCAGAGGACTTAGCTCCTGATGAGGTTGTGGAACTGGAAAGTCAAGCTGTACTGACCAACCTGAAGCAGAAGTTCCTGACTGTGCTTTCAAACCCCAGGTGGTTATGGAGCCCATACCCAGGAAAGGCGGAAGGGATATCTTCCAGGTAGACATCCCAGAGCACCTGATCCCCTTGGGGCAGGAGGCCTGATGAACGTGGGCTCCTCAGAGAGGGGTTACTGAGAAACCAGCTAAATCATGACCTATCAACTTGCCGTCATACCGCGGACGTGTAAATCGGGTTCAATATGGATTGGCACCGCAGTGGAGGGTGCTACCCACCATGTGCTGTGCATGTAAACAGATTTCTCCACTCGGATGCAGGGACGGGTAAGTGGGACTTTGCTTGCAAGATGCCTCTCTGGGCTCAGGGACAATCTCAAGGACTTTGACCTTTAGGAAAAATGGAAAGCTGCCAATATATGTCTTGGCATTGCCACTAATTTGGGTCCAGCTGATTTCTGGATTCCATGAAGAAATATGTTTTAAGAGAACTCTTTAGTGTTCTCCTCTCTCTTTGTTCTGGTCAAACTCATAGAATGTTTGAAAAACATCCAGGGGACATTGTGTGAAGGCTGGGAGTGGGTGCTGAATGATCGCTTGAGAGTGACCAGCCCTGGATGGCCTCATTCCTGATGAAGAGGACATCAGACTTGGACCCAGAGCAGCTGTGTGTCCTTGCAAATGACTGTTGCTCTGTTGTCAAGTGTCCCGTGGCTCACGGAGCATGCGTGTTAGACATGTCACACGGCTACTTCATGTCCTTCCTGTCTAAATACAGCTCTCTTGGATGAGTGATAGGTAGTGTTGTTTATTTTGTGGGAAATCTTTCTTTCTTTCTTTCTTTTGGCCATTTCTTAGCAAGGTTTCTAGTGGTTGTTACCTGTGAGGATGACGGGCTTTCCCCCAGGCATTGACTGGAATTACCTGTCTCTTCTGAGTCAGACTGCAGTGGTTGGACATCCCCGGGCAAGTGGGGTGGCCCTGCTATTAGGTGGACCTCTTTGGAAGGCCCCTGGCTCTTGGGCCAGAGACGTCCAGCTCCTGATCAGAAACTTCCTAGTATCATAGGGGAACCCGTGAGGAAAGACCCTCCTGTTTCAAGACACATGCATAGTGTAAGGCGATACCCCCAAGGTCAAGAGCCAGGCTGTTCTGTCTCCTGACCTCCAGGCAAGGCTCAGGGAACCAGGTCTTCCAGGGCTTGCCTCAAGACTCCTTAGCCAAATCCTCGGCTGAGTGTCTGAAAATGCTGCTGCTTCAAGTGAAGGAGGACAACAGGGATCAAAACCTGTTTGGGGCCTGGATTTCCTGTTGCCTCAGGCTTATCTGATGAGGTGTGTGTAGTATCGAAAGTTAGGAAGAACACCGACTCACAATTCTCATTAGATTGTTTATTTACTCCCATGAAGTTTTGCATCTTGGTTATAAAACGGTGATGTTTATCTGTCACCACTGACCTGTGAGCTTAGGGACCTGGATTGTCCTTGCACTGCTCACAGAGTACACATTTGTGATCTGAGGAGCCTTCCTGCTCCTCGTCCTCGTCAGGGGCCTCGTATGCGGACATGACTGAAAGGGCAGCCAGCAGGATGAAATAACAGGTGTTGTACAAGGACATCACAAAATCGTAATCTGAGTAATCTGGGGGGCTGGCGGGTGGTTCCCCTGTGCCGTCCCTTCTGGCAGTAGCCAGGGGCACAAACATATCATTCCTGGACGGGCCCTCCCCACTTGGGCTGCCTGGCTCACTTGGGCGATGGTTTTCCGTGGCAAGTCTGGCTACAAAGGTCACAGAACAGATACTAGAGCACGTGAACTGCCAGCTGCCACTGGGTCCCTGAGCATTTGGGGCTTCCTTCTGGGCCTTTTTGTTGGCTTCTTTGGTGGGTTCGTTGCGATGGATTCTTGGGGAGTGCCTCGTAGCTGCTACCTGCTTTTTTCTCTTGGGAGTTGTTGCACTGGTCCCTGGGCAGGCGATAATTCTCAGGTCTCCTCTTCTCCGAATGTTCTCAATGAGCAGAGGCTTGTCTCTCTGAAAGTTGGGGTTTCGGTAGATCTGAAAGAAAATCAATCCTGTTAGTCATTCTGGGAGCAAATATTCACCGCCCCCCCAATCATAATGGTCTTGTTTTCCTATGGAGAAAAGATATTTTTAAATTGCTGTCAAGTTTCCTTATGCCCTAGAGCCTAAGCTCACTAAACATACGTAATTCATAGGTTAAGGTGTTAATCTCTCTCCTTGACGTTAACTGACCTCTCAGAATCTTTAGTCATACCTACAGATTATCTCTAAGGAGGTTGTAGTTTCATAGGAACATCTGTACTTTCTCATCTTTCGATAATGTCTCACGTGAAAAAAGTTATCCTCAGAAATTAAACCCTTTCAGTGTATCATTCATCTTGGACTACTAGGAAGATATTCGAGTGACAGAGATGATAGGAAAGGGAAGGACTTGCTACTTTACCATCATTCTCTTGTTCCCTGGAGAGTGAGCCGAAGAGTCGTCTGGACGTATTTTGCTGAATCCATGGAGATTCAGTTGGCGGATAAAAGTCTTCAAGCTGTCTGTTTCAAAAATTCTCGCTGCACCTCTCCGGTTAAGAATCTCCCTCTGGAAAAGATCTTCTTCAATGATCATGGTGTCTCCGTCGTCATTCCAGCGCACAGACGTGAAGGCGCTGTCCTCTGCTAACATCCAAAGCTTTCTGGGGAAGGAGAGCCCGAGAAGATCGTTTTCTTCCATGTGGGCTGTGCCTTGGTTTGGATCCTGTGGTCGTCGGTCATCTTGGGGGCCTGGATCTTGCCTCATGGCTTGGTCACTGTGGTTCTCCAAAAACTCCCTTGAATCCAAATTTGGATCCAGGGATGAATTAGATGGGACCCCTGTTGCTGACTCTCTATTACCTGATGGGGCCAGCTCGACTTGATCTATCTGGTCAGTACTCTGACTAGCCATGGAGCTAGTCTAGGTCAGGAGCATGTTCTACCCAAGACCTTATCACTGAACTCTGGAGTCAGAAATGCCTTCAGTCAGAGCGGGGACGCACAGTAAAGACTGTCCACAAAATTCTAGAGTCTCGGTAGTTGGGCAACCAGCTGCTTAAGTCATCATTCTCTTCAGTTGTAACATGATGTCACAAGGGTGGCTCACAGCTGGTCTGGAGAGGGAGCCCTGGCCAAGTGTGGGGGAGGGGAGGGGTGTGGGGTCCCAGCTTCTCTCTTTTCTACAAGTAAAGAAACCTATGGTTTGAGTTCCCAGAAAAGGCTCCCATCTGCTGCCAGGCACATTATTTCATGGGGCCAGGCCTTGGATGGGTTGAGAAACCATGATCCTATCTCCACTCCCACCCCTGAAGATGGGGAGGTGGGCCTGTTGCTGAGCTCTCTGATTTGCTCAAGGACCAGGCCCTGGTTCGTCCTAGCTTAGCTCCCACCAAGACTAGGTGGGTCAGATGGGCCTCTGAGAGACTGCGCCTCCCAGAAGAGGGTGGTCCCTAGCAGGCTGATTGGCCTAGTCTAGGTTGGTCACCCCCTCCCTTTCTGCTTTGGTCTCTTCCAGCTACTCCTGCGAGTTGGTTGGTCCTGCTCAGGACCAAACAAAGAGTCCTGCTTTCTTGCCCCTGGGTCAAGTTGTCCCCAGAGTAGGGCTGTGCTGGAGCACAGTGGGAGTGCTTCTTAGGTTCCCCAAACTCTCACCCAAAGCACCGGCATGTGAAGTGGGTGGCTGCATCTTGCACTCTGCGTGGGAGGGAGTCTCCTCTTGAGCTCTGCTTGTCCCCAAATCTCATCCTTCTCCAGAACACAACAGAATTGTCTCTAGTTTCCATTTCTTCCCCATAGAAACTCTTCTTGTTGCCCAGGATGAGCTCACTTTGGGAACACCTGTATTTGCCCTTTTCAAATCACCTTCCCCAGATGCTCGGATTCAGCCTCCCTTGAGACTGCCTCTAAAGCCCTATTTCCTTTCTTCAATAGAGTGGTTTGGCTTCTTCTCTCCAAGATTTCTGGCTTCCCACTTCCAAATTGGATCTCCTTTGGTACTTCCCCTTTTGATTACTTGATTTGGGGGCCCAGCATCTATTCTGTTCTGTTGATACAGCATTTCACTGACCTACTCCCATGAGCCAGCCTTGCTCTCCTTGCCCCAGGCTCACCCCTACTCCCCAGCCGTGTGTCACTCCACTGCCGTTATCTGGATGGTAGGTCCATTGAATAATTTTGCTTGCTCTTGGGTTAGACTCATTTCAAAGGGCCTACTTTACATAGACTCACTCCCAAGGAACATTCCTGCTCGTTTAGCTAGACGTGTGTAAAAGAAGTCAACATGAAGATACCCCTCAATGTGTATTTGAAAATAGATGAGAGTCTGGGTGTCGAATGGGACAAAACCCAAATGAAAGTCATCCTCATCATAGATTAGAGGATACGACAGTGATTTTGGTCATACATATTCTGTAGCCCTTCTGGACAACTTTGTTGTTAATATTCACTCCACATAGGGGGATAGACTGGTATTGTGGGAAGGCCCCACCTGCAAAGATCGTAGGTACTTGTCCTGGTTCTGCCACTAAGTAGGGTCATTTCCCCTCACTGAGGGTCTATGCTTTGTTTCTAAAAGGGGAGTGCCAAGTGATTTTGAAAGAGAATCTCCCGAGATGCCTTTCAGTCTAGGGACTGTAACCCTTAAGGGAGCCCCTAGGTCTAGATTTGGGCTTGGTCTGTGGTCTTTGTGCTTCTAAACAGGTTTCCAAAGCGTTATTTCAAGAAGTCAGTTTATCCTGTATGGACATCCCATCAGAGTCTAAGAATTTAAATGGAGGCCTTTAATGGCTTCTCAGAAGAGGGCTCCTAGAGTCTCTGGATGAACAGCCAGCTCCCTTCAGTTGCACACCCAAGTGTTTTTGCTTCAGTGAGCTCTTTAAAGACTGAAAATGAAATTTCCCTGTGGCATGTGCTAGCTCATGAACTCTGCCGATGACTTATACAAAGGGATTGGGCCATTGGTGGGAGAGGAGAAAATGACGCGGGAAACCACAGCCTGGCATTCTGCAGAGAGCAGGTGTTTCCTTGATGTGCTTTAGGCACTCTTACATCCTGAGTCTTCTGTAGGACCGTTAGCTCGTCTCCTTTGTTTCAGGAGTCACCGAATTTCCACTGGGGTTAAGAATCTAGGACACGAGGCTCATCTTGTCCTCTGAAAATGAAACATTCACAGTGCTGACTTCAGTCTAATTGATGAAAGGCACTATGGAAATGGCCTCCCTCGACTAAGCCTTCTCAGTCTCAGAATTTCAACCCTGGGCCTTGTGGCCACCAGTCTGACAGTGTTTATTAGGTAGCTACCACGCTCAAGCCTCTTGGAGAGAAATGATTGCTTGGCTCTTCAGTGCTCCAGAGGCCCCAGAGATGACTCATACGTGTTGCCGCCTTATGGACCAAATCCCCAGAGTCAGGTGACTTGAGAAGAGCACAGTTGATTGGGCTCCGTGGACAGCCACCTAGGAGGGAAAGTAATTTCAGTCTGGACTGGCTGCGGCTTCTGCACAGCCTGCAGCCATGGAGAAAGTGCATAGTTCTGAGCTACGGGGCCCAGGGCCTGGGGCAGCCAAGGGGCAAGCCTGGTTGTGTGGCCTTTTGTGCCTCCCCCACCTTCTTGCCCCACTTCGCGCCCAGGGTCACAGTGGGAGCTGCCTCTTTACTGGTCTCCCTCCGCCGCCTTGGCACCAGCTGTGCCCCAGCAGTTGGTTTATATCGCACCTGAGGGGTCTGTCTCAGCCATGGCTCAGACACAGGCCCTCGTGACATCCGAAGCCTGCCCTTTCCATTCCCCCAGCCACTGTGCTCCTCTTACCCACTCCGGCATCTGCCAGCCCAGAGGCCTTCCAGCTGCTTTCACTCACCATCTGCTGGGCTCCAGCCCCACTGGGCCCCTGGCGCTATTCTCTGACACG